CTCTTTTTAAAACTTGTTTTATTAGTTTTAATCTTTTAACTTTATGCATCAAGCAAAAATTTAATTATCTGCAACATTCTCTGACTGGAAGAAATTTGTTTAATATTTAAACCTATTTTCTGCACATTCCAGCACATAAAATATATATTTTTTTGTGTGTGTTTACACTCAGTCTTTCAAATAGATGCAAGTAAAATACAGCAGAAAATAAATCTTTGACTCAGCAAAAGGACCAATGACTAGTTTTTGTCTAGTCATTGTTTCTTAGCAGCTATTTGGCCTGACTCACACAGTCTCCTCTGAACAGCTGATGTAGAGATGTGTCTGCCACTGGAACTCTGTGTGGCATTTATCTGAGCTCTAATCTGAAGTGATGCTAAATTGTGATTTCTGAGGCTGGTGACTCAGATAAATTTATCCTCAGCAGCAGACGTGACTCTTGGTCTTCCATTACTGGGGCGATCCTCATGTGAGCCAGTTTCATCGTAGCACTTGGTGGTTTTTGTGACTGCACTTGGAGACACATTCAAAGTTTTAGTATTTTTCCTAACTGACTGACCTTCAGTTCTTAAAGTAATCGTGGACTTTCATTTCTCTTTACTTAGCTGTAAAGAATTCTAACTGTTGTCAAATAGGGCCAGCCTGACTTCTGCACTCACACCTGATGGTCCCAACCCAATTAAGAAGGCAAGAAATTCAACAAATGAACCCTGACAGCCACACCTGTGACGTTAAAATCATTTCAGGTGACTACATCATGAAACTCATTGAGGGGAGGCCACAGTCAACAAAACAATGAGTGCCGAAAAAGTTGATTCTGTTTAGCTGGACGTAGCGTTTTGTGGGAGAAATGATTTGTCACTCATCCAAGTGACTTCTCCAGTGTCAGCTGACTGCAGTTTTCTCCAATCTTATAAACAGTACATTTGCATAATGACTAAAACCAGCCCACTAAAGGAAACATTGGGTTTGAGGTCAGACAATTTGCACATTAATGATCAAGGAACTGTCCTCACATGTGTTTTTTGATCAGTGTGGTTCTTTCTTTGGTTTTGTAGAGTTATTTTCCTCAGACATACTTTTGTTAGGATCTGACACTGTACAAATGAAATGCAGGACATAGCTTATGTGTGTCTGTACAACTTGTTTCTACTTTCTTCAGTCTACGAGCTTCAGACAGTGGAGGTGACACCGGGGGTGAAGCGTGTTATGCTTCCCTTCAAAACCACAGCTGAGCTGCTTGAGGACGTCAGAGTGGATTGGAGACGTTCAGACCTTGAAGATGTGAAGGTCCTTGTTTATGAGAACAGCCAAAAGAAGCATGAAGAGCAACACCAGGGCTACAAAGGCCGCACTAGATGAATGAAGAGCTACTGAGAACCGGAGACCTCAGTCTGACCCTGAATTACCCTCAACTTACTGACAGTGGAGTCTACACCTGCACCGTCTACAAAAAAGATGGAGCCATCCTGAAACAGAAAGTAGTGATACTCACTATCAGAGGTCAGTAAACTTATCTGAGGTCAGTAAATGTATAACTTGTGTCTGTATTTACAGCTCATGTTGTATTTTATCAGACTACAAGGTGGAAATACTTGAAGTAACAAAGGGGAAGAAGTCTGTGCTGCTGCCCTTTAAAACCACTCTTGATCTACCCGATGATGTCACAATCGAGTGGAGACGTGGTGATTCCAAAGTCACAGTCCACACCTATCAGCACGGCCAAAACCTGCTAGAAGAACAGGGACAGGATTACAGAGGTCGCACAGAGATGAATAAAGAGCCACTGAGGACTGGAGACCTCAGTCTGACCCTGAAAGACCCCCAAAACACCCACAGTGGTTTCTACATGTGCACAGTCTCCCAGGGTGAAGACATCCTTAGACAGAAAATTGTGATGCTTACTGTCAGAGGTCAGTAAATGTAGCTTCCTCCACCCACTGCTCTTTTAGTTGAGGAACTGCTGTGAAAACATCAAGTGTCCATTTTTGCTGAGTGTCAGATGCCAAATAGATTCACTTAATACACTCATTCTGAAACTGACACTAAAATAAAACAATATTTAAATGTTAAGTATTAGTGTAATTTTATGGTTCTGCTTTGTCTTGAAATGAGGAATAGTTTCCCATAGTTTTCTTTGATATCACTGAGTAATGGTTGCAGTCCTGATTCTGATGTTTCAAATATTCTTGATAACTCGCACCAGAGATTGAAGACAAGTTAAATGAGACTATGAATCAATGTTGTCTGTTTCCTCTGCAGGAAAACATGGTGCAAGCTTTACAGAGCGGTTTCAAGGCTTCAGAAATAAGAAAAAATCCATGACTGATGGACCTTCTTCCACTGTGTAAAGTCGTCTTCCTCTTTCTTTCTTTTTGTTGTCTGTTGTAAAGTTGGTGTGAAATGTAAAGACTGGAGCTGGACCATTTATAATTAATCTTTAACTCAACACACATCCTGCAGGTTTAAATCCAGTATTTGCTAAAACCTCAACTTACATCAGAACCTGAATACTGAAAGCATCATTCATCCTTCTTTCAATCTTCTTTACTGATCAAGTTTGTTTTATTTATATTAAATATCTAAGTGTAATCATGTGACTCATTATTTGGATCTTTGTGTCAAACTGGAAATACCAATGTTACACATGTTGATCTTTTGCTTGCTTCTTCCTGACTGTTCTGTCTTCTCTGGACCAGGAATCATGAATCTATTCCACTCACTACTACAGAAGCAAGTTAAATGGAGGAGAAGAGCTGGCAGGTAGGTCATTGTGCACAGCCGTCCTTCTCACAAATGTTTGATTCAAATTAGCAGAGCTGTGTTTGATCCAGTGTGTATCTCTGACTGACTGTTCTCTCTCACCTTTGGAAAAGGACGATCTTTCGGATTACCACAGGCCACTTAGTTTTCCCTGTATACTCCTCTTTGGTTCCACTTTTAGAAAACATAATCTCGGATGGACACCTGCTCATTCTCTGCAGCTGGATCCTTCACTTCCTGTCTGACAGACGCCAAGTGGTCAGACTGGGCAGCATCACCTCATCCCCCATCACACTGAACACTGGTGC